ATTTTTCAGTGAACTCTTTCTGTCAGTCAAACACTCTACTCTGTCCCCATCAGTATATTCCTGTTTCACTTTTCATGGTTGCTGAGTTCATAATATAAGAGCTGGAGCTTCAATAACCCTTCTTCAGTGGCAGGTAAAATCATTCAATAATGGGGCCTAACAAAAGCTGAAATGTTGAAGTGGTTCTATTTTAAGCTTTTTAATGGAAAAAAGTGCAATGATAACAAAGCAGCCTCGCCTGACCTCATCAGTGCATTCCATCCTAATGCGTCAACAGTTCAGTGTTGGTTTAGGGGTAAAAATGAACTTGGATGTTTTTTATCACGTCGCCTGTGAGACCTCCAAGCCACACAGGAATAAAACAAGGGAAAAAAGAGTCTCATCACACATATTGTTTATTTTCCTTAGGCTTAGATGCGCTTCCTACCGTGGACGCATAGCAGCTTAAACTCCCTCAACACCCTCAGTGTCTTACCCTCAATCAGATTCAGTACATGACAGTGTCTTCCAAGAAAACACATTTGGAAGCTGAGTGTGACATAGACCTTTCAGCAGCAGACAGGGTGTTAGCGAGCTATGAACAAGGATTTGTCAGTGGATTCTAAGTCGTGTAAAGTGTTAATTGCAGACAGACAGGTCCACGCTAGCCCATCTATCTCCACATCCCCCGTACCTTCTGTTAAAGCCACCTCAGACAGCTCCTCACCCTTAAAAAGAGAGTTCACCCAACTGAAATGAAAATTCTGTCATCATTTACTCACCAAATGTCATACCAGACTTGTATGACTTTATTTCTTCTCCGGAACACAAAAGATATTTTGAAAAATGTCTGTCTTAAAGGGATAGTTCACCCAAAACTGAAAAATCTTTAACTAAACCTCATTTTGTTACAAGCTTGTATGATTTTTTTTTCTTACGTGGAACACAAAATCTATTTTGAAAATAAATAAATAATAAATCCATATAAATACCCCACTGACTTTCATTATATGGACAAAAACAGTGAAACTGTTTTTCCTTTAGTGTTATGTTATTTTAATATCATTGATGCTATTATAGTATTTTTTATAGTTTATTTCAATATTTTATATTTTAATTTTAGTAATTTTATTGTGTTTTTGTCATTTTTATCAGTTTTTAAAGTTTTTTTGTAAGTATGTCCATATGGTTTTTAAATTTTTTTTATTTCAGTTTTTGATGTACAAATGTCGGATTTAGCAACTTGCTCAAATTATTATTTTTTTTTACATTTATTTCAAGTAACAGAATTTGTATGGCTTTTTTTAATGGTAGTTTTAGTTAACTATACCTTGGTTAAATTAATGATCATTTGGTGATTTAACTTACATCTTGTAGATTGTTCCCTCAATAAAACATCTCTCTTTGTTGTCCAACAGCGCCAGTGTTTTACTTTGGAGAAACTGAGTACCATGTGGATGAGAGTGATGGTTATGTCGAAGTCCGGGTTTGGAGAACAGGAAGTGACCTTTCCAAAACCGGAACTGTCACAATACGGTCTCGAAAAACTGAGCCTGTTTCAGCCGAAGGTATGTATCAGACAGATTGCGTATGTCAGTTCCTAGTATTACATGTGCAGACGCTTTCATACATAATTACTGTAAACATGCTTGGTTGATCTAATACATTTTCTAGCTTGTATTTCGAGAAATCTACACCATGAGACAATAATATGTTGCTACAGGCCCCTCAGGCTTCAGCAATAGACAGTGCCAGATGACAAGAGCCCATCCTATGACTTACTGACAAGATGTAAACACGACTAGGTCTTCAGTGCCTCTATCTAACGTGATCTAGAAATACTAATGTTGTGCAAACATCCACATGTACAGTCTTTTGAACACTCTCCAGATTGTTGAAAGGGTTGTCTTCACACAATTTACTCAGACTATCGACTGTCTGGTTCTCGTTGTAGCTCATTCTGGCCAGGAAAGGTCCAGTCGTGTTCAACCACAGTTCATTTTATTCAACAAGTCAGTGAATTTGAAATCAAAATCACCACAATAATAGGCCAGCATGTAACTAAGTGGCAGCTCATTCAAACAATTGCACACACTGCAAAATACCTAGTGGAAAATAATTTCAGTTTATTCAATAAAAAATAAATAAATAAACACTTTGTGAAGGTTAAAACAAATTTGCTTAAAATAAATCCAATAAAATTTGATTAAAACATGAAAAAATCTGCAAAAATGGATTGACAAAATACACTTTAATTATTATTTCACTAGTAATAACCACTGTTATTTATTAATTTTTACTAAGATAATTTCTTTGAAAATGCAATAATACATTATGACATTTCTGATACAACGGTAAATGTATTTAAGGAATGAGTACATAGCACTAAACGTACCTACTGTACATGATATTTATCAATAAAATAATTATTTACAAAGCAAGTCAAAAATATAAAGTGTCACCACAAAGGTATTCTCTCACCAGTCTAGTGTCAGTATACATTTTTTCTTCATTTTGTGGAGAAAAAAAGGTTGGTCAGTTCTGCGCTTGAGAGAGGTTTATTTTCTCACTGTTATTTTACCTATGAAAATTTATTTTTGTGCACTTGATATCTCTGGAATATTTTCTCCGTTGCCTTACTAACATACTGTAAACCTTAACACAGCTGGTGTGGACTACGTTGGGATTAGTAAGAACCTAGACTTTTCTCCGGGCGTCACCATGCAGACATTCAAGGTTACAATCCTGGATGACCTGGGACAGCCGGTGCTGGAGGGGCCAGAGAAATTTGAGCTGGTTCTCCGTATGCCAATGAACGGCATATTGGGTGAACCAGGAAAAGCTACAATCTACATCAACGACTTCATCTCAGATTGTGAGTGATCTTACACTAAACCATAAAAAGGCTAAATATAGTATACAGTTTCATTCATATAATCTTAGACAAGAAAAAAACAAGATTTTGATAAATAAGATTTGGGTTTGAATATAACACTTGTTTTAAGTGCCCAAGGTGCAGTTCCGAGATCCTACGTACACAGGTAATGAGAATGATGGGCAGATATCTGCTGTAGTGTACCGGAGTGGAGATTTGAGCTACAAGTCCAGTGTGCGGTGCTACAGCCGTCAAGGTTCGGCCCAAGTCATGATGGACTTCAACGAGAGGCCGAACACAGACATCTCAACCATTGTCTTTTTACCAGGTATTATTTTTGATTTATTATTAAGAGTGTTTATCTCTATAAAAGAGCTATGAATGAAGTTTTATTCTGAAGGGAATCCATTAGAAGTGAAAATTAGATGTATGGACATTTTTATGCATACTAAACAACAACTCCCAATTGATTGCTTGTGTAGGAGAGGTGGAGAAGCCTTGTGTCCTCATCCTTGTGGATGACACCGAACACGAGGAAGACGAGGAGCTGAGATTGGTGCTGGGAAGCCCCAAGAGCGAGTCTCCATTTGGGGCCTCCATAGGGGCTCAGAATGAGACACTCGTCAAGATAAAGGACGATGCTGACAGTAAGACTTTCATCTCCCACTTTCTCACATTTCTGTGCCGACTTGTGTTCCACGCGCAATTGCTGTTATCTGTCAGAGTCCTAGAAAGTACTGTCTGAACTGTAAGGCAGTGTTTTTTTATTCAGAAAAAATGCAGATATAAAGAGGAAAAACTTACAAAATAGTATGCATTATTTCACAATAAATATTTTAAATAGTATGAAAGAGAAAAATGTAATATTTAAATGCACATATTTGCTAGATAACGTTCTAAGATAAGGATAAATGTATTATGTCAACATTTATAGGCACAATAGCAAATATATAGATTAAAATCTTAAAGATCTGGACTAGAAGCTACAAAACTCTCATTTTGATTTCATGTGCTCTTTAATCATCTTTCTGTTTAAAGGTAATTGGTCCATATCAACCCCGAGTGAAGTGATATTTTGGTGCTGACATACATCTCTCCTTTCCCATGATCTTCTTTCCCCAGAGGCCATTATCAGGTTTGGAGCAACCAAGTTCAGTGTCAGTGAACCTAGTGAGTCAGGGCAAATCTCAGTGGTGAGGATCCCGGTCCAGAGGACAGGAGACACATCCAAAGTGTCTGTGGTTCGGGTCCACACAAAGGATGGCTCGGCTTCCTCTGGAGAAGATTACCATCCCATCTCTGAAGGTGGGTTCAAACACAACATCATAGCATGGTTTTCTAAGACAGCTCACTGGGGAATCTCACAAAACCTCCCAAGGACATGTCTAGTTCATATTTTACCCCATTATCATTATTTATAACTAAAATATATATTGCTCAAATAAAAATAAGCTTATTTTAGGACCATTCATTATTAATATTTGTATTGGACTATTTTAAAGTCTTTTTTTGCATTATTTTTTACTATAGAAAACATTCCCCTTCCACATTCACAGTATTGTTATATAAAAGAATAAGAGTAAGAAGACAGACAAGAATATATACAAAAGAATAAGATAGATTAAAAATATAATTTTCATTACTGTACATTTTTTTTAAGTATTATGCATCATAATAGTATGTGTGTTATGTTTACCTAATTTATGCTCATTTAAATATAACAAGTACTACTGTTGTTAATACTACTATATAGTTATTTTCCATTTACTTTATGCAGATTTAAATAAAAACATGTATGTATAATTGTGTAATTAATTATTATTTGTCTAATTTATGCTGATTTAAATAAAAAATTGTATTTGTATTTTTTTTT